AAAGTTTCAAGTTGCCCTGCCGGTGCTTGCGGCTGGAATACGGCCGGGGCACGTCACAACGGTAGGGGGGAGAGGGGGAAGGAAGGAAGGGGCAGGAGGGGAGGGGAGAAGGGAACTGTGTGACTGCATTGCACCGTCCCCATCAATAGGTGGACCCCCTCCCGGCCCCATAAAGCCACCTGAGTCGAAGCTGGCAGCCTCCGCTGTCTGAGATCGCAGCTCCCCTGCAGCCCACCAAATTTTCATCTTCTAATGTGGCCCAGGGAAGGTGAAAAGTTGGACATCCCTGGCCTAGAGTGTTGTAGTAGCTGTTGTTGAAAAGTTGATTGAGAGAAGTCCTTTGAAGTCCAAGATGGTACGTGGCCTATCAGCATTATATCCTATTATCATTTTATACAAGCCAAAACTTGGAATCACCAGAATAGGAGCTGTTCTTGAAGCTCTACATGCAATAAATCAGATTGATGACACAGTAGCAGAAAAATCAAAGCAACAGTACACTACTTTAACCACAGCTGCCCACGATGAGTTCAAGGCTCAATTCCAAGCATACCGTTTCCCCCAAAATAAGACCTAACCTGAAAATAAACCCTAGTATGATTTTTCAAGATGCTCATAATATAAGCCCTACCCCAAAAATAATGCCTAATTAAGGGAAATCCTGCCCTCCACCATTGTGCAGCAACCACAAGATGACATTACTGTATTTGAAAAAAAAGTAGATTGTTGTACATGAAAAAAAAAATAAAAACATCCTCTGAAAATAAGCCCTAATGCATTTTTGGAGCAAAAATTAATATAAGACCTTGTCTTATTTTGGGGGAAATGTGTGTTGCAAAACAAAATGATGAAGTTGAACTGGATACGTTTTACAGTGGTATTTTGATGTCCAACAAAAGTTTCTCAGACCTGTGGACTGTTGTCAAAATTTGCCTTATCCTGTCGCATGGTAATGCTTCTGTTGAAAGTGGATTCTCAGTTAATAAATCAATGTTAATTGAGAACTTGCATGAAGGAACCTGTCTTCAATGTCAGATTTACTATGCTGTCTTAAACTGTGGAGGACCTGCATCTGTTGTAATTGATACGAATCTGTTGCCATCAGTCAGGAATGCTCATGCACACTACACAGAGCACTTGGAGGCTAAACACCGTAAGCAACAAGAAAGAAGAAACTTGAGGGACAAATTAAACATCTTGAAAATGCTAAAAAGACTGAGAAGCCAAAATGGAAGAGGAAACAATTGATGAGATACTAAGAGTTACAAAATAAAAAGCGAAAACTGTAGAAGTGATAGTTTTATATCTTAAATCTTTATTCTTTAAAAACAGATTCGTTGTTCGTTTAGTCGTTTAGTCAACTAAACAGTCAAACTCAACGGTGGCCAGAGGACTGGAAAAGATCAGTTTACATCCCAATCCCAAAGAAGGGAAGTGCCAAAGAATGCTCCAACTACTGCACAATTGCACTCATTTCACA